GATTATATTATTCTTTCTACTCTTGTATATTAAATATTTTCCATAATAGGAGAAAAATGAAAAAAAGTAAGAGAAGAGGAAAAGGAGGAGGAAGAGGGTAGAAGAGTGGAAAAGAAGACAAAAGTATTTATGAAGGGATAGAGCAGGTGTTGGGAGAGATATATAAACAATTCTGTATAAAACAATGGATAAGACAGGGGCAGTTAATATAATTGAGCTATTAATATATGCCAAGCACTGTTCTAATTCCTGTAATCTTCACCATAACCCTGTGAACTATGTTCTATTATTATCACCATTTTTTTAGATAAGGAAATTGAAATTCAGAGCAGCTAAGCACCTTGTCCAAAATAGTGAAGCTGTCAAACTGTTTATGTCACTGAGCTCTTATTTTATGTGTCTCTAAGAAAGAAAAACTTAGAATTTTTTATAGTTATCCTTATAACTCTTTTAGTCTTATTTACACAAAGCTTTTTCAGTTATATATTTCTCTTATTTATATATAAAAAAGGAAAATACAAACAAAATAAATTAAGCTCTTTCTAAAACATTTCACATTCAAAGGATGACTCATTCAAATCTTTTTGACTAAACTTATTTTTCCTTTATTTTTTGTTCTTTTGCTTTTTCTTTTATATTTTTGTTTAACTAGATCCCCATTTTATTGACTTATAGTTATTAATTCCTGTGTTTCTCAATGCAATATTACCCTCTGTGCTATTAAGAGAAGTAGTGATGCAGTATTTCTTAAAGGAATGTTTCATTATGTCTCTGGACTTTCTTCCAAGCCAATGATACCCTTTATGCATGTTTTGATGGCAGCATTTTTCTAAACTTACTAAAAGTATCAATGGAGGGTTTTCAAGAACAACCAGAACTCCTAGTCTTTCCCAAAATGATCCTTAAATGGTTCAATAACTTGAAACATAAAGGAACTGAAGTTATCTAGTCAGATCTAGAATAATAACCAAGTTAGCACATACATAAACAACTAAAAATATGTCATAACTTCCACCTGGACTATGATGAATGTATAGAAACACTATGAATATGACATTACAATGTAAGAGAATGTACATGTCTCAAAATAGATGAAATAAGGTAAATTTCTTAGCTGGGTAATATATACGCAGGTGTCCATTGGAGTGTATAAAATATGTCATAACAAAAGAATAGATGAGATGTGAAAAGTAGGTGGGGATTTGTTTCTGCCAAACCTATATTTCATGCTAAAGAGATTTTTAAAAAACTTTATGCTAGAGGAGTATGGATATCTAAAGATGGTTTCAAAAAGAACAGAGACTAAACCAAATATGCTGAATTTTAAAAGACTGATATTAATGTATAATATAGACTAAGTCTGTCTGGAAGCAGCATTAAAAACTAAGACAAACACAGAGGGGACAGAACACAAGGTAAATTTGGTTGACAGGCCAAAGTCAGGCAGTGGATTGGGTGAATGACAAACCCCCTAATATTTCATAAATAAATACAGGGCATATCCAGCTTTTTATTTACCTCATCTTCCTAAAACTCAAATATTAAAATACATTACTTTGGTCTCAATGTGTTTTGATATCTACATGCAAAGATAAATCTGTTTAGAGGTTCTGATAAATTGGAACTATCCAATTTATTATCCAGTCCAATATCTTCATATAACCAGGGAACAATTGACACTGTTTCACTTAATACAATATTTAGTTTTGAAATCTATAAAGCATTTTGTCAGTATCTCAAATGCAAATACCTTAAAGGACCTGCATATGTTCAAACATTGTTCAAATGTAGGTGTATAGTACGAGTAATATGTGTGTGCAGTTGTGTAATTATTCAGTATTAAAGTCCCATGGTAATTGACATATGGTGTTATATAACAGTACAGAATAACGTATGGCTTCAATTAAGTGCATTGACTTAAGACTTTGTCTTTTAATGACCCTCAGTGGATACTGAATGAAAGGTAAATTGAAGGTTCGTTAAGCTGTGTTCAGAAGAAAAAAATGTTTTCAAACGGCAGATGTACTGTGAAATTAAATGGATTTTAGTAAGATCTGCTCTTCAGTGTTTTTCAAGTGACAAGTCTAGCCCGAAGTATTTGAAGTGGTTTAGAAAATTTAAAAATGAGCATTTATTTTCAGCTTATTTAATATTTTAAGCTTTAAATGTGTAGAACAATTGGGATGAGCTCTAGAAATTTGGCTCTTTCTTCACCAAAGTGACCTTTAGTGTGGTTTTGTTTAATGTTCTGGTGTGTGAAAGGAAAAGCAAAGCAGAAAGGAAAGCAACAATAATGTATGCAGTGAAATTAAACAAAACATTTGCAGCACCCTGTATTTTTCCAGCTAGCATTTAAACTTGTGAAAAAGGAGTTATGTTTTAAAATATGTATGGGGAGTCAGAGAAAAATCATAGACAGGGAAATATTGCTAAATTTGATTCTTATTCCTAAAGGTTTCAAGAAGGCATTTAAAAATATTAAAAATGTAATGAATATGAGCTTTTCCATGTCCTTACTATTCCAATAGCATAATTAAACACAAGCATAAGGACAATGCTATTTATATAGTAATATTATAAATGCAATTTCAGTGGCATATGGATATTTACTAATAGAAGCTACTAGTCTCCTATTCTAGACTTACATACAAATTGAATTACACAGTGTGTGATCTTTCTTTTGTGACTTACTTTTTTCATTTAGAATGATGTTTTTGAGATCCATCGATGTTATACCATATATCAGTACTTAATGCATTTTTATTGCTGAATAATATTCCATTGTATGGATATATTACAGTTTATTTATCCTTTCATCGGTTGATGGATATTTGGGTTGTTTTCACTTTTTGGCTACAATGCATAATGCTGCTTTGAAATATTTGTGTACAAGTCTTTGTATAGATATATGTTTTCATTTCTCCTGGGTATATACTAGGGAATGGAATTTTTGGATCACACAGTAACTTAATATTTAACTTTTTGAGGAAATGTCAGACTATTTTCAAAACAGCTGCACCAGTATACATTCTCATTAACAATGTATGGGGGTTCTAATTTCTCTACATCCTTGCCTACATTTATTCTCTATCTTTTGGTTATTACTACCCTAGTGAGTGTGAAGTGGTCTTTTTTTGTGGGTTTTACTTGTGTTTTCTTAATGACTAATGTTCTTTAGTATTTTTTCATGTGCATATTAGCCACTTGTATCTGTTATTTGGAGAAATGTCTATTCAGATCATTTGTCAATTTTTAAATTGGGTTATTTGTCTTTTTATTATCAAGTTGTAAGAGCTCTTTACGTATTCTGGTCACAAGTCCCATATTGGATATTAGGATTTGAAAATATTTTCTCCCATCTTTATGTTGTCTTTTCACTTTCTTGATAGTGTCCTCCAAAGCACAAATGTGCTTTTGAGGAAGTCCGATTTATTCTTGTTGCTTATGCTATTTGCAATAAAGTTTTGAGAGACAGAATGTTGAAAAAAATATACTGGACCTTAAGTATATATTTTTGAAAAGTTTTAAAAAGTGTTTTTAGATACAAGCATCCACATTACTCTAACCGTCTAGGTATAAAGCAAGAGATGAGATGTGCAAGTCAACAACTCTACATCAAACAAAGAATGGTTTGAAACTTTTGGAACAAGATACAGGGTAGGGAAAGTGAGTATATACATATCTTCTGTAATAATGTAAAATGAACATACCAACAATTTTTATGAAACTCTAGAGGAAGGATTGCTGAAGAAGCGAAGACTGCAAAAGAGAACCGATTGTGTGTGTGTGTGTGTGTGTGTGTGTCCAAACACACACAAATTACTATTTATCTAAATCATTCAGGATGCCCTTGAATGCTCTTTTTTTTTAATTTTAAAGTATTATGGGGTACAAATAATTTTCATTATATGAATAGCTTTTATAATGTTTGAGTCGTGATTATATGCGTGCCCATTATTCACATACTATTCATTGTACCCATAAGGTAAGTTTTCTGCCCTAGTTGATCTCTGCTGAGTTTAACTTCCCTCTATGCACATGTGTGCTCATCGGTTATTCTCAATTTAGTAGTGAGTACATGTGATGTTTATTTTTTCATTCTTTGGACACTTCACTTAGGATGGTCTCCAGTTTCATGCAAATTGTTGCAAAAGACATTAAGTCATCCTTCCTTATGGCTGAGTAGTATTCCATGGTATACATATGCCACATTCTGTTAATCCACTCATGAATTGATGAACATTTGGGTTGATTCCACATCTCTGCCGTTGCGAACTGTGCTGTGATAAATATTCAGGTGCAGGCGTCCTTTTGATAAAATGACTTCTTTTCCTTTGGGTAAATACTCGGGAATGGGATTGCTGGATCAAATGGTAGGGCAATTTTTAGTTCTTTGAGGGATCTCCATACTGTTTTCCATAGAGGTTGCACTAATTTGTAGTTCTACCAACAGTGTATAAGCATTCCTTTCTATCTGCATCCATCCTAGCATTTATTGTTTTTGGACTTTTTAATAAAGACCATTCTCACTGGAGTTAGGTGATATCTCATTGTAGTTTTAATTTGCATTTCCCTGATG